GGTTCTCATCCATAAAGGGTAAGGGGCTCCAAACTGCAGATCTTATGAAGATAAAACTGGATTTTCAGTTTCTTCTGGGATTAGTAAATCCTGGTTGGGGTCCTGGAGCTTAGGGGCTTTGTAGAGACTCAGGAGGGATGAAGTCTCGAATCCAAGGTCAATGTATTGCTGACATGCAGCATCTCGTGATTGTGCGGGTCTTCATGGTATGGGAGCTAACTCATGGCTCCTTGCCTTGGAGACAGGAGGCTCCAATATTCCCAGGAGTCTGTGTGGCTGCAAGGGAGCAGCTAGAGATGGTATATTGGTGCACACGGGTTTGTGACAGTACAGTATCCCACTTCATGGTGCAAGAAGGGATAAGTGGCACCTAGGGTTCTCATCCATAAATGGTGAGGGATTTCAGGATGCATGTCTTATGTGGATAAAACTGGATTTTCAGTTTCTTCTGGAATTAGTAAATCCTGGTTGGGGTCCTGGAGCTTAGAGGCTTTGTAGAGACTCAGGAGGGATGAAATCTCAAGTCCCAAGTCCATGTATTGCTGACATCCAGCATTCCCTGATTGTGTAGGCATTAATGGTATGGGGAGTGGACTACAATTCAGGGCTCCAAGCCTGGGAGATAGGAGGCTCCAACCTCCCGGGGGTTCTGTATGGCTGCAAGGGAGTAGCTAGAGAGGGCGCATGAGTGCTCAAGGGATCACGTTCTGTCTGGTGAATAGAGACAAGGGCCAGAGCGACACTGCTGCAAAGTGAAAGCCAAACGGCTGAAGTATTGGCTCAGGTTCACCAGGTCAATGTTGTGATAGCACTTCAACGGTCACTAGAGGATTCCCTTCCTTTGGAGAAATCTCCTCTCACTTCCTGTTATGTCTCAAGATAGAAACTGATGGAAAATCTCCCCAATGGGTCACCAGAACAGAAATGGAGGTGAAATTTTGAACTACGACTACATGTATAAGCACAGTGGCTACATGGTGAGCACTTCCGCCTGGCAGTACTCGGGTCGTTGGTTCGAATCCAAACCATGGCACCACCTGCCTGTCTAGCAACACTCAGCAACTCTGTAACTCTGAGGAACTTCGGCAGTATGTAACGTTCTTAAGAGTACATTGGTCAGGAGTATATCCTATGAAGCCTAAAAGGTACAGAGTGCAGTAGTCAGGCGTATGAAATGTACACAGAGTGCAAGGCTCAGAAGTGCATAATATGCAGAGTGAAGGGGTCAGGAGTGGGTATTGTAGAAAGTGCAGGGCGTAGAAGGCTGGAAAATGGAGTGCAGTGGTCTGGAGTTGGTAATGCACAGAGTGCAGGGCTCGGGAGTGTGTAATACTAAATTCAGGGGTCAGGAGTGGGTAATGCACAGAGTGCAGGGTTCAGAAGTGTGTATTACTAAATAGAGGGGTCAGGAGTGGCTAATGAACCAAGAGCAGGGGGTCAGGAGTGGGTAATGCACAGAATGCAGGGTTCAGAAGTATTATTAAATGCAGGGGTCAGGAGTGGTTAATGTACCAAGTTCAGGGGTCAGGAGTGGGTAATGCACAGAGTGCAGGGTTCAGGAGTATTACTAAATGCAGGGGTCAGGAGTGGGTAATGCACAGAGTAAAAGGGTTCAGAAGTATTACTAAATGCAGGGGTCAGGAGTGGGTAATGTACCAAGTTCAGGGGTCAGGAGTGGGTAATGCACACAGTGCAGGGTTCAGAAGTATTACTAAATGCAGGGGTCAGGAGTGGGTAATGTACCAAGCTCAGGGGTCAGGAGTGGGTAATGCAGAAAGCACAGGGTGTAGAAGGCTGGAACATGAAGTTCAGTGGTCAGGAGTTGATAATGTACAGAGTGCCGGGCTCAGAAGTGTGTAAAGCAGAGTGCAGGGCTCAGAAGTATTAAGAGTGCAGGAGTCAGGAGTGCATAACACAGAATGCAGGGGCTAGGTGTGGGTAACAGAGAGTGCAGGGCTCAGGAATATTAACACAGTGCAGGGGTCAGGAAGGAGTACCAAAGTGCAGAGCTCAGAAGTATTTAGAACAAAGGATGCAGGGCCCAGGTAATGCAGAGGGTGCAGGGCCCAGGTAATGCAGAGGGTGCAGGGCCCAGGTAATGCAGAGGGTGCAGGGCCCAGGTAATGCAGAGGGTGCAGGGCCCAGGTAATGCAGAGGGTGCAGGGACCAGGTAATGCAGAGGGTGCAGGGACCAGGTAATGCAGAGGGTGCAGGGATTAGGAGTTGCATAATGCACAAGGCATTCTACAGAGCACACCCAAAAATGACCCCTTACCGCCAGTACAAGTCCCCACACAAAATTATTCAAAATGAACAGCCCGAGATTTCCCTCCCAGCACACCCCCAGTATAGACCTGCTATCCTAGCCTAAATCCTTAGTATAGACCACCCCCCACCAGAAGCACAGACAACTCCCCCTCTTCGGTGCAGATCTCCCCCATTAACTTACCAGAAGCAGCAGCAGAAGTTCAGAGCGAGGGGGGAATCCTCACTTCGGCTCTGTCCTCATGTTACTGGAGTCTCCCCTTGGCTCTGCACTGCTGCACATTTAAAAAAATAAATAAAATCAGGCGGCTAACACCAAGCGCCCCCTGATTATTGCACGGTCATGCAAGATTGTACCCATGCGCAATTTGTATAATTTTTTTTTCTCATAAATAGAGCTTTCTTTTGGTGGTATGTACTCACTGCTGGGTGTTTTTACTTTTTGCACTAAAACAATAAAAGTGCAAAAAAATTGAAAAAAAAAAAAAAGTTTCTTTGTTTCTATTATAAAATTTTGCAAACAGGTAATTTTTCTCCTTCACTGATGTGCGTTGATGAGGCAGCACTGATGGGCACTGATAGGCGGCACTGAGGCAGCACTGAGGTGGCATGGATAGGCGGCACTGATGATGGGTACTGATAGTCAGCACTGATAGGCGGCATTGACTGGCACAACTGCTGGGCTGCACTGATGGGTGGCACTGCTGGGCACCAATCATCAGTGCCCTGATGATCGATGTTGATCCCCGCTCTGACAACTGTCGGTTCTCGGCAGTACTTTCCCCACGTTCTGACAGCATGAGGAAAGTGCAGCCGAGAACCGGCAATTGTATTTCCTGGTGATCAGCGTGTCATTGGACATGGCTGATCACGTGGTAAAGGGCCGCTCACATCACGTGATCAGCTGTGTCCGTAGGACACATCGATCACAGAGATTGCTGGGGGAGCGCAGGAGAGCGCGTTCTGGGAGGACGTCATATGACGCCCTCCCAGAACTGGCAGGCCGCAGTGCAGCTGTCATTCAGCTATCTGCAGTCGGCAACTGGTTATGAAAATTCAAGCAAGTTTGAAAACATAACACAGTCACCCTCTTCCTTGCTCCTGCTATCGCCAGAGAATTTTACGGAGATTGACAATGATTCTGGCAGTTCATATTCCTGACCGATAAACCTGTCTGTAGATTGCTTCAACCCGGGACTGTGTGTATGGAGTTAGAGCAGTGGTCTCCAGACTTCGGCCCATGGGCCAGATGTGTGCCTTTATCCAGCTCTTGTGGCACCATTCCTTCCACTGACACCGATGAGGCACCATTCCTTCCACTGACACAAACTATGAGGCACCATTCCTTCCACTGACACAAACTATGAGGCACCATTCCTTCCACTGACACCACCGATGAGGCACCATTCCTTCCACTGACACCACCGATGAGGCACCATTCCTTCCACTGACACCGATGAGGCACCATTCCTTCCACTGACACCGATGAGGCACCATTCCTTCCACTGACACCGATGAGGCACCATTCCTTCCACTGACACCAGCTATGAGGCACTATTCCTCCCACTAATACCAATGATAGGGCACTACTCCCACTGGTCACAGTCTAGCCCCGCCTTAATGACAGTAAACTGTCTCTTTGTCTAGAAAATTTGCAGAAAACCCCCCACCCCCGAGTTAGAGAAAAGAAAACCACGCTCTATTTCATGTAGGTATTCATGCTTACAGCCACCGATCTACAAGAATGAAAAGCAAACGCAATTTTTGGGATGCATTGGAGGTGCAAGTGCTTTCTCTTCCCCTCCTGCATTTTCTATCCTCGAACAGTGGAAAGGAAGGACTTGCCACAGACAAGAGCCAAGAATCTTCACCATCCAACACACCTTCATCAGATGCCTGTCCTGCTACGACACGGCATAACACAACCGTGACACGGGGGCAGCCATCTGACACACTTGGAAATATGTCGGATGCTGAAGATTCCTCAGCCGCCTTAGCACTTGAGCAGAGCAAATTAAAGACTCCCTGCCTGCCAGAGGAGGTTAGTATTAGGAGCCTTTTTTTTTTGCAAGTGCTATAATTTGTAACAAAAAGGCAACAAAGTAAGCCCATCCTAACTAATAGGAACTCCGTCATTTCTGACCATTCCTCCTGAAAGTGCTGGTGGCCTGATCCTCATGAGTACTTTGACCACTGCCTGAGAACAATTATGCAGATTGGGACCTCCGACTTCCTTGGTCTTCATACTTCTTCTGGGTTGGATTCTCAGATAATGTTGAACCAGCTGGTCAGCATGACGGCCAGAAAGTATGTCTACAATGGTAGCCTCCATATTTCTTTTGTGACAGGTGTCCTCACGAGTTCAGGAAGTCCTTCTGATGCAAAAGTATAAAATAGTTGGTTATTTTGACCCTTTGTACATCGGTATTCCATGTGCTAAGTAATGCTTCAGAACTTGATATTCTTTCTTCTCTTTGTTTTCCAGGTTTTGATGAATAGTTGAGATTAGCGGTGGACTTGTGTCAACAACATCCAGTTATTGGCTTTTCTTGGATTTCTACAGAGGGCTCGCCTGAGAGAAAATCTCAGATTAACTTCATAAACATCGACTGGGATTACCGAACTAGCAAGAAAAGGGATTCCTTGTGCAGACTGTCAAGATGCCTATTCTGAAACAGCTGGTAGCCAACCCCAATGCATCCAAAAGGCGCTCACGGGCTGACCTCACGGCAGAAATGATAAGTGCCCCCTTAGGGGATTTCCGGCACACCATGCACATAGGCAGGGCAGGAGATGCCTTCGGAGACACGTCTTTCCTGGCCAAAGTGGACGATCAGCAAGAACCAGAAGAATCGACTTCCAAGCCGGGATTATTGTCTCGAACCTTTCGCAGCAGCAAACGCTCCCTTTCAGTGACAAGAGGTGACCGCAGGGACATGCTGGGGTCACTCAGGGACTCAGCCTTGTTTGTGAAGAATGCCGTCTCTTTGCCTCAGCTGACTGAAAAAGAAGCTGATAAAAGCACAAGCAGAAAGTTGCCAAAGAGTTTGTCTTCCAGCCCAGTAAAGAAAATTCCCGAAGAACAACACATGAACGGAGCATCTGCTCGTAGCCCGGCACCCATTCCAGACCCCATTTTAGCAGAGAAAGAGTTTGGAGATCTAACAGACTTGCCAGATACGGCTCCCAAAAGCACCTACGGCATGAAACATGCAGAGTCCATCATGTCATTTCATATTGACTTGGGCCCATCCATGTTGGGCGATATATTGAGCATCATGGACAAGGATCAGTGGGAGCAGGATCTTGACCTAGGTCTCGACAAACTGGATGGAAATGGTGCAAACCGTCGCCAACACTCTATGCCTTCTAAGCCAACAGGTCCCTCAGCAGTTATTCCCTCAACAAAAGCTGCTCATGGAAGCCTTCCTACATCCAGCAGAAACAATAAAATTCAGCCAACCAAAGAAAACCATTCAGTTTCCAGAGGTTCCTCAGGAATCCCAGAGGAAAAACCAAGAAAGGGAAGAGACTTCTCCTTCATGGATGAGGAGGAGGAGGATGAGATAAGGGTGTAGAAACCTATTGACTTTAGTTTTAAACACAGTTGACAAGCTAACCAAGAGCAGGTCAGACTGGCTTATTCCCGCTTTGATCTGCGCTCAAGACGTTGGGATTCTTCCTGGAATCGCCCCCCGTTATCTGGGAGGTCTACAAAAGCTCTTTTTGGAGTTCTGTAGGCATAGTACAAAGTAATAGCAATAACACCCAACGTTCTGAAAGGTAGATCGCCTACTTCGAAGACTCAAAAGAGGCCAAGGTCTGGCCATGTGGAAAGGGTTATCCAACACGATGGGAAACTTTCCTGAAACACTACGAACAGTCTGAAGGAAAACATCTACATGCAAATAGGAGAATACTACACAAGATGTTTTTCAATTGGTTTAAGGGATCCAAAAATGAAAACTATGGGAATTTATCACTACAGCTTCTTTGTTTACCCAAAATATACTTCTGTGGCTGCCTTTTTTTTATCCAAAACTTCCAGTTCTTGCTGTTTCTACCCAACTTTTTGTTGTTGTTGTTTCTACCCATGTTTTTGTACGTTCCACCTTTCCTCGAACCCCCACCTCCTTACCTGAAAATTGCTATAGAAGCTTTTTAGGACGTCAGGTATAAAACCAGAACTCGTGTTCAACTGTTGTGCCTGTAAAGTATATTTTTGGAAGTTATTTTCCAATAAATGGTGTTCCATTTGACTGGAAGTCACATTGACGCGGTGAGACTCCACGTCCACGTTACATGTGACACGCATGTATATAGACAATCACTATAGAGGGGTCTCTGGCTGCAAACAAGAAACAAGGATTTAAAAAGTGAAATTTTTTTCTTCACCACCAAATGCAGCCGCGCGACAACGGATGGGAACGTCAGAAGAACGCCGACCTTCGGGTAATTGATAGGACCACGTTTGTGAACGTTCTACAACACTAGTCACATGGTTTCGTGTGATGTCACCCCTAGAATTCTTTGCTATTTATTAACCTTTGCCAGTGAAGTGTACCATACCAACTCCTTTAGCAGAGATGACATTTTTCCTGTGGGAATGATACTAATCTTTAGAGGAACTTATCCCTAAAAAAAGAAAAAACTTCTTCTTGTGTACAAGGAGGTTATTTTTTTGTATTATTTATGGTGCTTGGAGTAAAATAAAAGTGACACTATGCATTTTGTCTCTTTCTGTACACCACACCAAATAGACCCGGGAAGATCTAAACACAATCACTGTCATCTCATCTGCAGCTTTCCTTAAAGTAATACCCAGCGATATGGTCATAAAGTTCCATGGTCAGGCACTTCCTGTTATGGGGTGACAACAGTCTCCCACTTGTGCTCCTGTGTTAAACAGTATAGTGCTGCTCCAGGCCGGCCTGTTGCCACAATCTCATACACACTTCCCACTTGGGTGTAAGCTCGGCTTGTCACGCTGAAATGAAAGCACAAAAATCTGGACCGCTTCACTCCAAATGAAATCCATATTTAATGTAACATAAAAAGCAACAAAAATGCAGCAACAAAGCACTGTGGGGTTAAGAGAACAAAAGTCAACGTGTTTCACCCTGTATCAGCACTTAATCAGGACTCCATAGGAGTCCTCATTAAGCCCCGATACAGCAACAAAGCACTGTGGGGTAGGAGAACAAAGTCGACGTGTTTCATGCTGTAGCAGCGCTTAATCATGACTTGTATGGAGGCATGATTAAGCACTGATGCAGAACGAAATGATGTGTTGACTTTGCTTGCATTCCAACAAAATACAGCAACAAGGCACTGTGGGGTAAGAGAACAAAATCAATGCTTTTCATGCTGTATCAATGCATTTGACCCTGTATCGGCACCTAATCACGACTCCATAGGAGTCATGATTAAGCGCGGAGACAGCGCAAAGCATGTTGACTTTTATTACCCACAGTGTCTTGTTGGAACGAGAACAAAGTCAACACGTTTCACACTGTATCAGCACTTAATCATGGCACCATAGGAGTCATGATTAAGCCCCGATACAGCAACAAAGCACTGTGGGGTTAAGAGAACAAAGTCAACGTGTTTCATGCTGTAGCAGCACTTAATCATGACTTGTATTGAGTCATGATTAAGCACTGATGCAGCACGAAATGTGTTGACTTTGCTTGCATTCCAACAAAATACAGCAACAGGGCACTGTGGGGAATGAGAACAAAGTCAATGCTTTTCATGCTGTATCAATGCATTTTCACCCTGTATCAGCACCTAATCATGACTCCATAGGAGTCATGATTAAGCCCCGATACAGCACGAAACAAAAATACAGCAACAAAGCACTGTGGGGTAAGAGAGCAAAGTCAACGTGTTTCATGCTGTAGCAGCACTTAATCATGATTAAGTACTGATACAGCACAAAATGTGTTGACTTTGCATTCCAACAAAATACAGCAACAAGGCACTGTGGGGTAGAGAACAAAGTCAACGTGTTTCATGCTGTAGCAGCACTTAATCATGACTTGTACTGAGTCATGATTAACCCCTTTACTCCGGCCACACACAAAATGTGCGGCCTACCGGCGTCTGGGCCTTGACACCAAGCGGCCGCACATTTACGTTCATGTAACAAAAAAACATATGTGCTGAGAGCGCGCGCTCCCAACACACATGTGCGGTACTCACGGAAAGGTCCCGGTCCGCTCTTTCGATCGGGACCTTTCCCGATCATGTGACCGCCGTGACAACGCGTCACATGATCCCTAAACCACGCCCCGCCTCCCGGCGTCTGAAACTCTTAATGGGCCGGGAGGTGCCGGCGGGAAGGGGTTAAGCACTGATACAGCACGAAATGTGTTGACTTTTGCTTGCATTCCAACAAAATACAGCAACGGGGCACTGTGGGGAATGAGAACAAAGTCAATGCTTTTCATGCTGTATCAATGCATTTTCACCCTGTTTCAGCACCTAATCATGACTCCTATGGAGTCATGATTAAGCCCAGATACAGCACGAAACAAAAATACAGCAACAAAGCACTGTGGGGTAAGAGAGCAAAGTCAACGTGTTTCAAGCTGTAGCAGCACTTAATCATGATTAAGTACTGATACAGCACAAAATGTGTTGCATTCCAACAAAATATAGCAACAAGGCACTGTGGGGAATGAGAACAAAGTTGATGTGTTTTGTGCTGTAGCAGCGCTTAATTATGACTTCTTAGGAGTCAGGATTAAGAGCGGAGACAGAACAAAGCATGTTGACTACTCATTCCCCACAGTGTCTTGTTGGTAGGAGAACAAAGTCAACGCTTTTCACCCTGTTTCACTCCATAGGAGTCATGATTAAGTGCTGATACAGGGCGAAACGCGTTGACTTTGTTCTCATACCAACAAGACATTGTAGGGAATGAGAAGTCAATAGGATTCATTATTAAGCCCCAATACAGCATGAAACAAAAATACAGCAACAAAGCACTGTGGTGGGGTAGAGAACAAAGTTGACGTGTTTCATTCTGTAGCAGCACTTAATCGTGAACTGTATTGAGTCATGATTAAGCTCTGATACAGCCGAAATGTGTTGACTTTGCTTGCATCCCAACAAAATACAGCAACAAGGAACTGTAGGGAATGAGAACAAGGTCAATGCTTTTCATGCTGTATCAGTGCATTTCACCCTGTATCATCACCTAATCAGGACTCCATAGGAGTCATGATTAAGCGTGGAGACAGTGCAAAGCATGTGGACTTCTCATTCCCCACAGTGTCTTGTTGGTATGAGAACAAAGTCAACGCGTTTCACCCTGTATCAGCACTTAATCATGACTCCATAGGAGTCATGATGAAGCACCAATACAGCAAGAAATGCGTTGACTTTGCTCTCATTAACCACAGTGCCTTGTTGCTGTGTTTTGTTAGAATGACAAGACAGTATGTTTTGTGCTGTATCTACATGTTTCGTGCTATATCAGTGCTCGATTGTGACTTCATAGGAGTCATGACTAAGTGCTGATACGGGGTAAAACGTGTTGACTTTGTTCTCATTTTAACAAAATACAGCACCTAGACACTGTGGGGAATGAGAACAAAGTCAAAAAGTCTTGCTCGGTCTCCACGCTTCATCCTGACTCCTATGGGTGTCACGATTAAGTGCTGATTCAGGGTGAAATGCACTGATACAGCATGAAAAGCGTTGACTTTGTTCTCATTCCCGTGTCTTGTTGCTGTATTTTGTTGGAATGAGAAGTCAATGCGTTTCACCCTGTATCAGCACTTAATCATGACTCCATAGACAGCATGAAACACGTTGTCTTTGTTCTCATTACCCAGTGTCTTTTTGGTAAGAGAACAAAGTCAACGCGTTTCACCCTGTATCAGCACTTAATCATGACTCTATACAAGCCATGATTAAGCCCCGATACAGCACAAAACACGTTGACTTTGTTCTCAATACCCACAGTGGTTTGTTGCTGTATTTTGCTGGAATGAGAAGTCAACGTGTTTCACCCTGTATCAGCACTTAATCATGACTCTATACAAGTCATGATTAAGCCCCAATACAGCACGAAACGAGTTGTCTTTGTTCTCATTACCTACAGTGTCTTGTTGGTATGAGAACAAAGTCAACGCGTTTCACCCTGTATCAGCACTTAATCATGACTCTGTACAAGCCATGATTAAGCCCCGATACAGCACGAAACGCGTTGACTTTGTTCTCATTACCCACAGTGGCCTGTTGCTGTATTTTGGTGGAATGCCAAGACAGCGCGTTTTTGCGACGTATCACCGCTTGATCATGACTCCATAGGAGTGGATGGATATCACCCTGATGGTTCTCGCAAGTTCCACCTCCTGACAACACCACACTCAACCAGCAGCACAGGACAACAGGAACCGCTCATTTCCGAGGTAAGGAATGTATTCTCTCCGTACGTTCCTTTTTTGATCACCGATTGGCTATCACAGTGGCTTCCTATTGTTACTCTGAGACCGGGAGCTGTCATCCTCTGGCACTAGAAGTACCTGACTGAGCATGCTCCCAGCGCAAGCATGACACATAAATG